AATACTGAACTAGTGGTTTTACTGGTATATTCCTCGATTTGTTAAGGAAACGTTCAAATGTTCTATAAAAAGTAGACTTTGCAATGAGCCAGCGAAAAGTTCACAGGTAGCCGGATTGAGAAACAGAGCTGTATGTATGTGCTGATTGACCTGATCGTGAAAAAAAGAAGAAGAAATTGACGAGAATGCTTAAATGAGGCCCTACTTGTGCCGAGCGAAAGACAGAGAATAAATGTGAATAGTGGGCGAAGGGCCAGAGAAAAAAGCGAGAGAACATGCAAACAAGTAGTACAGCAGATAAGACATCTATCATCTTGGGTGGAGTCGCTTTAGCAACCTTACGCGCTAACGCCGCTACTTTACCATTTTCTGACTTGAAGCAGACACATGGTTGTTTGTTTGTTGCTACACTACCTCTCCGTACGATGAGCTCAGACATTTATAATTGATCGTGGGTTCTGCCTTTGAGATTTGCTCTCGCCTGAAGTAGAGAATTCTCACGTTTACCTCGATTGCCGTGATTCCTGCCATGGATCATTGGCAGGCGATGGACTATCTCACGCGTTGCTCGACAATTCTCTGATTGAAGCAGGCAGTAAGGACCCTAGGGGCTTTACTGTGAGTGTTTGCCGTTTCACCCCTCCTTTTGCTTCAGTACCGCACTATGTAAAGCCTCTGTCTCCGTTTCTACAGAAAACCGAGTGATCGTGCCCGCTGCCCTCTAATGATATCGAGGGAGCTACGTGGTGTAGTGGCGAGCTTCGCAATCTACCACTATTCCGGTGCCTAGGTCTCTCGGGTTGATTTCGTGAGGAGCAAGGTAAGCATTTCATCTCTGTGGAGTTGACGAATTGATGCCAGACTCGTTTTGGAGGATAAGAATACCGCCTGCACATTGGCTAAGTCACACTAGGCGTTGGGCCATACCGCATTCAGAATACTACTACCTACGATTCCGAATGGAAGGAAAATGCATTCCTCAAGAAAAGGGTCTGTCAGCGGCTCAGTTCTGCTTTTTGCTCGATTCTTTACAAGTGTATGCAGATGGTGCAGCGGCAAGTGGGGTCGCTGAGCACGTGCGACGTTCGCGGATCGAATTTGGACAACTTTTTTAATGACAATCAAGCATCCATCGTGAGGGGTCGGTGAATTTTTCTCAAAAAGGATAACGAGAGAATAGAACCTGTTGATGTGATCACTATGGTCTCCGTATCGCCTGCAAAAAGCTACTTCGATTCTGGACGGAAGTGTACGCATCCGAGAAAGGATGGCCGATAGCTGATTCGCAACTTCGAGATAGGTGAAACTGCACTGCCGGCATGACCCCCGAACTTTCTATGTTGCAGCAAGACGACATTTTCCCACGACTTTCACATACCATAGATTTTCCCGATTTTTCAAATTTCCAGTTTTGCCCAAAAGCTAGCGTCCAGTGGGGGGGGGAGGCGTCAATCAACTATCAAAACTGGCTAGTACTAAGGCACATCATTAGGTGGGGATTTTGGTGGAGTCCGTTCGACCCGCTCGGAAAGGTGGCTGGATACCCCCCCCCCCCCCCTTCCCCTAGCTAGTTCCCTCCTCTGATACGTTCGAGCTGTCAAGCGAGAGGGCGCGGAGAGGGGTGGAGAAACAGGAACGGGGTGGACAGGAAAAACCGACGAAAAATCAACAACCGGGAAAAAAATTTTCCCAACAATGCAACGGTGAATAAGACACCACCCCCCCCCTTTTCGTACAGAAAAGTCAATCAAAAACCTCAGACAAAATACGACCCCTCTCCCCAGCGACCACATGCGACCCCTGGCCTTGTTGCGGAATCCCTAACGATGTTGTGCCCTGGGTAGTACGCGTATAGAAGCTTTGCGGCACCAACAATTAGGAGCACAGGTGAAACGGGAAAAATAGCGAAAAGTCATGGCAACTGGAAAGTCTTCTTGCGCTATTTGAGAACGTTTCTCTCAAAAAGTAGTAACTGTTCAATATATCGTTCATAGTTTGAAACTGTGTTATTTTTTACATTTTTTTCTCTGATGCTAAAACGGTTTTCTCTTATTTTTGCACTGTTTATATTGATCATTATCATTTCTTTTTCAATTTTCTTGTGTTATTTGTTGAGTTTGAAATGATTCTTCAATTGAAACTGTATATTTTATTGAATAATAATTTTTTTTGTGGAGAAGGTTTTCGAAGAGAGAGCTCTGCCTCTGTGCTCATCAGTAAGGGAAGGAGGAATATCTAATTATAATTGTTAATATTTAATATAAAATATGTGTTCATAACCTTTCTCAGTTTGTTTCTTTTCATCTATATTGCATTACATGAAGCGAATAGTGAGCAATGTTTTAGATTAAGTAAAACTGTGTGATTTTATTGATATTCATTGGGTCTTGAAGTGAGTTAAGACCTCCACCGACCAAATACAACCCCTCCCCCCATCTCCCTCACCACCTAACCCCTTGCGCTTCTCCCAAGGACGCTGTACCCTGGATCGATCTGTTTTTTTTATTTTCTTAGGCCATGTACATCTTGCGAAAGTGGTTTTTTCTTTTTGGGATTTTTCGTGACGGACCTTTTTTTGCAGAAGAAATAGAAATAGTGGATGTGGAAGCTTCGGCGCTTACTGCTCTTGTTCATTTCTGCTACTCTGGCAAAATAACGATCAACAACACCAATGTGAAGAGCATTCTGCCCGCTGCTTGTATGCTTCAAATGAACGAAGTTCAGGTTGTGTTATTAATTTGTAAAAGTCCCTTCGTTCACACTCACCAAATCGAGTAGGTCTGATAGTTCTACTTCTTTATGTAGGAGTCCTGCTGCGGATTTCTGGAGAAGAATTGAGTCCGTTGAATTGCTTGGAAATTCGAGCGATTGCTGATACGTACGCATGTCGGAATCTTCTTTACTGCGCGAACAAATATATACTGCATATCTTTCAGGTGATTAATTCGTGGTCCTAAGCTCAATGTATGCTTCATCTATCTTGTTTTTTAGCACGTTGTTGGTACTGAGCAGTTCTATCAACTTTCTGTTAATCAACTAGTTGAACTCATTTCAAGTGATAAGCTCAACATCCGATCAGAAGAGAAGGTATGGAGATTAATCTAACTTTAAGAAAAGGAGATCGTATTATCTGTTTTATCACATTCAGCCCTCTTATGTCTGCTCGAATCATCGACAGCATTCTTCTAGGTTTTCGAAGCTGTGCTTCAGTGGATTAGATTCCGATCTATCAGTACGGAAGCAAGTTCCTTCCACAAGTAGGTTTACGTTCTCCTACAATGTTTTCGAAGTTTTGTCCACTGGTTTTGCAGTTGTTGGAGCACGTACGACTCCCACTTTGTTCCCCCAAGTTCCTCGCCGAAACAGTCAGTGAAGACGCGTTAGTGAAGGCGGACGAGGCCTGCCGATATCTTCTCGATGAAGCAAAGGTTATTGTAGTCCCTACAGCAAAATAGAAGTGCAAAACGAGATCAAAAAAGCATGAACCTTTCACAGAATGAAGAAAATTGAAGTTTCTTCTCAGGGATTCCCACGAAGGTAGATAACACGATAGACCATTTATGGCACGGCGAAGGGAAAGCTCATAAATCGGGTCCATTCAGAGCTACAGTCCTCCATTTTTCGGATTTCTATATGCTTGTGCTATTATGTATCCGACGACAGATATGACCCGTAAATATGCTTTTTCTAGGGACATATTCTGTTAACAAGAACCATTATTTGGTCTACTCAACTTATGGTTAGGGCACATCATTGGTTGGGGATTTAGTCGGAACCATACCTCCTTCCCTTGTTCCCTCCTTTGATTCAAGTCGAGCTTTCAAGGGGGGACGGTATAGCACACATGAAGCTGGGAAAAGCGCGATGAGAACACCCCCATTATCCCCATCCTACCTACCACTTTCCTAGATTTTCAAAACTTCCGTAGTTTTCCGAAATTTCCTGGAAACTTTTCCATTCGAGCAAGAGGGGGAAGAAGGGGGGGGGGTATATTGTGCGCCTAATACGGGACAAAGTGCAGTTTCAACAACCCCAAAAAATTTTCCCCTACGCCGCAGCTTTCTCTCAGAAGGCAAATACGACCTCCCCTCCTTCCTTATACCGTTCGTGAAACAAGGAAAATCAGCTTCCAAAAAAGATTTTCAGACCAGTTACGACCTCCTCACTTTAGCGACCAGATAAGACCCTCTATTAGTAAGCTCCCAACGATAATATGCCCTGATTCAACTACCAGACACTCACCAAGACGACCCAATCCACTGCCAACCTGTCGCACCAGAAAGAGTCCATCATTCCGGCCATCAGGCCATCCGCCTACAGGAAACGAGGTAGGTGGAACTGGTGAAGAAATTCAAGGCTTTTACAAGAATGGTGCACGTTGAATAGAAATCCGCTTTGTCATATGGGGCTCCCGTCTAAAAACACGCAACACAGTCGCAGAATTTGACAAATACCTAGTTAGCTGATGAGCCTGAGGAGCCAATAAAGGGGTTCTGAGGACGCCCTTCAAGCGAACAGTGACCGGCTGGGTAATCCTCCGCGACG